TAATACCTCACTTCAGAAATATAGACAGATACTGAAGGGCCGAAACTTTGTAATAAATATGGTGACAAAGACAAGGACAATAGTCCGTAATGTAAATAGTGCACGTAATACCTCATCTCAGAATTACCATTTGATTTTTTATTTAAATTTATGTTTGTGGATGTAGCATGTTTCAGTTACAACGAAACATTTAAAACATTCACGCAACCTTCTTAGATCTACAACAAATCTATAATATCTATAATGGCATATAAGACAACCACCCACAATCCCCACACCTTAAATTTCACACAAAGAAAAATGTACAGGGTTGATGTATCCGGTAGGCTTATGTTAACCAAATGCTAGAGATTACCAGGACTTTTACCTAAGCCAACTCCATAATTATTATTATAACAATGTTATGTTGTTTCAGGAGATAGACAATCACGGCTCTCCACAGCTTTTCTTTATTATCTGTGAATTGCTATGCATACTTTGAAAATATAGTGGAGTGGTTTCACGTTACCTTCTCCACAGTTCTGAATTAAGAGCTGTCTGTCTCCCTTCAGGATGAAGGTGATCATGGCTCTCTACAGATTCCTTTTCTTTATTATCTGTGAATTGCTATGTATCCTTTGGAAATATAGTGGAGTGGTTTCACGTTGCCTTCTCCACAGTTCAGAATTAAGAGCTGCCTTTCTCCCTTCAGGACGTAAACGATCATGGCTCTCTACAGATTCCTTTGTTTATGATCAGTGAATTTCCATCATTTCTTAAGAAAGATAGTGGAATGGTTTCCCATTGCCTTCTCCATGGTTTGGAATCCAGAACAGTTTTTCTCCCTAGGTGATCATGGCTCTCCACAGACTCCTTTTTTTATTATCCGGGAATTGCTATGCCTTTCTAGGAAATATAGTGGTTTCCTGTTGCCTTTCTTGGCTTGAAATTCAGCTTTTCCTTCTCTTAGACTAGCTGCCATCCAAGGATAGATAGGCCATTCTTTGCCCTTTTACCCATAGTTGGGAGTAGAAGTGATGGAATTGTTATAGTGGAACACACCTATTCTATAGTTAATAGACTCTCCCACCTATAATAAGTAGGAGTAGTAGGTGTCGATCAGTGGGTCGGTCAGTCAGTCGACTGGCTGATCGGTTGAACTCTCTGCTTTTGGGCAGGGAGAAACCCGAACGAGGCCACGCCGAAGGCGGGGTCTCTTTCGGGGAGGTAAACCGGCCCTGAACCCGTTTATACGGATTCAATGGGCATATTTTTGGCCGAGCCCACGGGCTCGGATATCCCACGTTAAAAAGGCTTTGTGCCACATGACGCCCTCGTGGGGGTGGGGGTGACTGAATATCGTCGGTCAGTCAGTCGATGCCGGACGACCGTTAGTTGGATATTAAAGTATCAGTGACCACAACTAGATTTCTCTGCATCATTACCTATTATATCAAGTTCTTAACGTTTTGTACGTCGAACCTATTTTAGGACTGACTTAGTACAAATACAAGCCTCCACTGTGAAACCACTCCATAACAGGAACCATACTCCTTCCATGGGATTTTATGTTTGAAAATCAACACAACAGTCTAAGTTGGAATTTCAACCCGTTTCTCCAATCCATAATAGTGTAAATAGAGAAGATTTATATGCAAAACTATAAAATTCGGATATCTAATCATTACTCAGACACCATAGACTATCCGTTCTTGTAGTATTTTTAGTGCATAGAAATTCATGTTATCTGCATATCTTATTTTGTTAAGATTGTGGCCACCAGTAACGAATCCACATAGGACTTATAATTCTCTAATCACCTCTTTGTATAGGTTGAATAGGTCCGGTGAGAAGACCCATCATTGTCTTACACTCCCTTTCTATTTTACTGCAAATCAGAATAATGTTAAATTAAAATACAGTTGGGTATGGGACTAGCATCTACTCCCTGTAAAAAAAATTGCAATGGAAACGGCAACAGCAACATCTGGTGTGGTAAGGTTGTGACCCTAGAGGGTGATTGTGTATAAACATACAATGCGACCCTCACCTAAAGATTTCCACCGACCAATGATCTAACCCCCCCCCCACTTTGCATTCTGGTTCTTGATCTCGTCTGTGGGCACCGAAAGCTGGTAAAGGGCCGGCGTTCTTATTTCCCGACGTGGCGTTTTTCTTTCATGGTGTTACCCCCGTAAGCATGCAATGGGCCCTTTCCCAGCTTACAAGGTGACACGATAAAAGACAAACGCCATGCTGCGAAATAAGAACGCGAGCTATGTTTTCCATATTATATGTAGGTGTTTTATTCATAGCTTCGTTGGCTCGTCCAGATGATTATTGGGGATGACCTCTGCTATGTCGGCTCTTTTCCCTACCAAATCCTCATGCATCTGGTCCTCCCAAAGTGATAGCTGGCAATACGAAATTAAGCCTTTGGAACTGCTCGACGGACACAGCCATCTCCTGCCAAGGGCGGACCATTACTCTCCCCGCTGCCTGTTAATATAGATCAGCACCCGGATATACCGTATTTCCGGATTTGTTGTTACTTGATCTCGAAAAAAAGCCTAATCTACTCCCTTACTTACCATTCTCTTTCGGTTAAAGTGGATTCCTCTTAGAACATCGAACTTTAAAAAGAAACACCTTCTGATCCACCAAAAACATTTGAGTTCGGGATAAAACTACCTCTTACCTTTCTACGTGGGAGTCCATAGAATCAAATTTTTATATATTCTAGATAGCTCAATCTGGAACAAGTGCGGAGCCCCCATGAGGATGACACTTATTAATAATGACTTAACAACCTTGTTAACAATTGCTGCAATATTTGGAATGGAGCTGCATAGTACTTACTTGCCAGACTTCAAAAGCGTCTACACGGCCTTGTGGGCGATGAAGTTTTTCCAGCCTACAGCCTCTTTCCTTCCAAGCTGCAAGTCTATCAATAGTCAAAATACAACGAATTGGAACACAGACTAAGAATTAATCAAAAAGCTCCGTATTTTCAGAAGATTGAACTCAAATTTAACTTAATAAGGCCCATTAAGCTTGGATATGACTTGCCCCTACCCACGAACCATTGCCCAAGACAATGTGGGTTTTAAACGATCGTTTGATTCCAGGGTAAAGATATTCTCCTGTTAAAATGTTTTTTTTCTTCTAAAAAACCTAGCCACTCGAAATTATGTGAATTTTACGTAAATCTTTTTTTTTATTGTTTTAAAAAAATATTTTCAAGAAGGAATTTTCAAACCCAAACCTAGGCCAACAAGAAAAATCAGGAAGACAGGTAATTTTTTTCAGAGACACTTGGGGTCAAAGAACACCTTGTAAAAAGTGAGATTATTGATTTGACTACACTGACCACCAACTTGACAAGTCGGTACGAAAGGAAAACACGAATCCCGTTCCCAATATATTGGGTTATTTATTCACAGATCTACCTGGCATGGTCTAGTGGGTAAGAGACATATTGCCTTCTAGTTCGGTCTTTCTCCCAACAGACTAAAGGACCAGATCTTCACTATGGCCAAAATTCCACCTGCATTCTACTCTATATCTCTCTTGCTCTAACCGCATGTCTCGTCATTCTGAGTGCCAACTCTTTCCTACCCCCCTCCCCCCTCTCTCTCTCTCTCTTTCTGTTTGCATCACAACACTCAGCTTTCTGACTTACTTTAACCATGACACCGCCTATATACTCCCACAACCGGAATTCACTATTTTCCGGCCAAGTGACACTTGATCTTGAAAGTTTTCATTTATTTATTTCCTCTTTCTTTACTTGCAGACAGCAAGTGGTCGATGTCTTTGTATCTCGATTTTATTGTTTGTTTTCATAAAATCTGGCCCAGGTAAAATCATTTAGGGCCAACTTGACTTGTATATCCTAAGGAGGAACCCATTGTGTCACCAACCAATCAAATGACCAAACTGGAGCGAATACACTGACCGCTTCTTTCTCCTAAAGTACCAGTGATAGACCTGCTAGAATTCTGACCACTTGACTAAGCTAACCAAATACTGGGATTTAGAGTACTTTATAGAAAAGAAGAATAAAGAGAGTGTGTATTTTGGGGGGTTATTTTTACAAAATATACTTCAAGCTTTTGTTGTCATTTTGTGCCCCACCCCAGTCCTAACCCAGCTCAGAATTGCCAACGTCTCGACCCCTCAGCAAAAGACTTCTTCAGGATCAAGATAACACAATGAAAGCTGCGGAGAACTTACAGCCAGGATCCCGTGGAGTGACTAGTCTCCCAGGTAGTAAACTTCTGAGTTCTTTGAGCCATCCTTGAATCTGAGACAACTAGTAGCATACATGTGCCCCTTTTTTTTTTACAGCTCTAACCAGGGTTCTTGACCTTGGGATGTCACATCTATTGCCATTTCTACCTTGTAAATTGCATGAGAATGTACTGAGAAAATAATAAAATAAATGTGGTGTCACATAGAAATCCAAGAGTTTTTTTTTGTTTTTTTTTTACCAAAATCAACAGAGCAGTTGACTTAAAGTGATGCCTATAACAAGCCTGGTAGCCTTGCAACTGCGGTTGATAACTGGGAGTGGATATATAAAGACTTAAATTATGACTAAATAACAATTATAGAGAATATGTTTAGCAAAGAACTTGTTAGTAATATCCACTAATTAATTAGTATCTATACCCATTTTTATGAAGCACCTTACAGCTATAACAATTATTGAGAAAGGCATGAATCCAACTTATTTTCATTAATGTAAATATACAAAGAAAGAACAAAAATCACCACCTCTACTAATTAAATGTTCAAAAATTACTTTATTCACCACAAATTAGGAACATTTTAGATAATAAACATAGAAAATATGATTATATAATATAATCAGGGGATTACAGCCACATTACATTGAAATAACACTTCTCGAACGATCACTGAAATTAAGCAACGTCGAGCTTGGTCAGTACCTTAGATGGGTGACTGCTTGGGAATACTAGGTACTGTAAACTTGGATATGTGGGGCATATGGCTTATGACTATATCACATTTAAACACCAGTTTCCATATGATCCCTGAAGTTAAGCAATGCCAAGTCTACTCGGTACCTTAGATTGGTGACCGCTTGGGAATACTAGGTGCTGTAAACTTGGATATGTTGGGAGTAGGGCTTACAGCTAAATCTCATTGAAATACCGGTTTCTGTATGTTTCACCAAAGTTAAGCAATGTCAAGCTTGTTCCGTACCTTAGATGGGTGACTGCTTGGGAATACTAGGTGCTGTAAGCTTGGATTTGCATGTGTTGTAATAGATAATGGCTCGGAATTGTTAATTGGAGAGCTGAGTTCTAATTCCAGTTGGGTTTGTTATATTCACTTATGTGCAAATATCCTTGAGAAAGGCATGAATCCAACTCTTCTATCCTCAGCTATCGGTGAGTTAGTAACATTTGTATCAGTAAACCATTATTTCCAAAAAATAAAAATATAGATTTTCACATTAAATAACCCATAGAGGTTGACATACTGCTAAACAAAAAATTATAAAAGATAATACAATTCAACATTTTACCAAATTTTCTATCAATTAAGTCCGAAAATACTTGGAAAAAAATATAATGAATCTCAGAAAAGCAATAATTTTTGATAATTTTTGTAAATTTTAATTTTGTAAATCCAATGGAAAAAAAAAGTTTTCTTTTTTTAAAAAGAGTGAATTGTAATTTAAATGTCCGCCCCCAGTTTTGGACTTCTGTTGCATGGCTGCCAGGCCTGTTATCAGTATGACTTTCGGTTGACTCCATTCACACTTAACATCCAATTTTGCTCCTTATCATATTTATGTTCCCTAAGATGAAAGATGAACTAAACAAGAAACACTTTGCTGAGATTGATGCTGTAAAGTGACAGTCTGGAAGAAAATCAGCACTGAAGTGTTCCAGAAATCTGGATTTTATCCAAGACAATTTCGTCAGTACAAAATCCACAATGACAAAATTGTTCCTCTAAGGTTAAGTGTGTAGCAATTAGAAGTCTCAACTTTAAAGACTATCAGCCTGTCATAAACCAGAAACACTTACAATTGAAATAAATCCACACCTTCTTCTTCAGTGTGGATGTTCCAGATCAGGTGTTGGTCCTTAGCAAATCCATGAATCTCGTTAACAAAACCTTGACCATTTTTTATGGATATTTCAGTAAGAGAATTTGGAGTATACTTCAGATTTTTTTTTTCTTATTTTCACATAGTCATCCACCCCAGGTATGATGATAATCTACATCTGTGTCCTGGGTAAGACGATAAACTACATCCAACAGCAAAGATCAGAAAGCTTTGAGGAACATGGAACTATCTCTTAATTGCAGGTGTTCCCAGGTCCACCATTACCCTGGATGGTAGCACCTGTGAGGGTCCCAGCTATGGGCAAATAGTTACCCCCACCAAACTGGAGTCAAAACACTATGAAAACATAAAAATAGGTTTTAGTACCAGCAATAAATTTTTTGTGGAAAAATTAATACCAGCAATACATTATTCTGAAGCAAAAAAAAAAGAAGAAAAGAATTTGTCCTCTTCCGTGAAGTCGGTGTCACTTAGATGATCAGACTTCAAAGACTACAACTGCCTGTGATAAAACAGAAACACTTTAGATCAAGATAAAGTCAGATCTTCCTCTTCTACATGGGTCTTCCAGCCATGGTGTCACAGGATGGGTGTTGATCCTGAGCAAAAAAACCCAAGAATAATTGTCCATGTTTTTTTTTCTTTTAATATGTCCAGGAACGACTTAAATAGGGTATAATTGCATCTACAACACTCTTGATTCAACATGTTATTCCAGGAATGAATCGAAGATATTGAGTCTCCAAAATAAAACTGCTAGAGATACAGACTGAAAAAAAAATGCTGAGGACAATAAAAGAGTAAAATTATTATTATTTTCTCATCCCCACCATTTATAACATTTTCTTAGCGCTCCATTTATTACCTCCCTTTAATTTGGCTTTTGAAAATTCTTATTCTGGAAACCTGTTCATTCCGACCATTTATAACAAAAGTAGTAGAAAGAAATTCGTTTAATTTCAATATTTACTCACGTCAGCAAAACAAAGGGCTAAATTGTTAGGAGTATGTTTTGCCAATTTTTTGAAGTGTTAAGCAGCTGAATATATATATATATATATATATATATATATATATACATATATATTATAAATTAATTGATTTAAAATATGTTTTTTCCGCTACACAGTTCTAACCATGTTTCAAAAATGGAAGCTAAAACCCACAAATAAAAATAAAAAAAATAAAAAAATCCAGACGACATGCATTCAACGGATGTCAGTTCTCATTGAAAAATACATCCCTACCCCTTACCAAAATGTAGCTAATAACCGATACAATGATACAGACATAAGGAAAACCCAGACAACCCTTGTCCAATTGAAGTAGATTTATCTGTAACCATGGAAACAGGATTTTAGCTGTGTCTTTAAAACCCAGTAATTTTAAAAGTTACTCCAAAATTCGCTTGAGGATGAAATGGAACTAATATCTTTAATTTAATTGCAAAATTAAATTCGTGGCTTTTAGCTTCCATTTTTGAAACATGGTTAGAACTGTGTAGCGGGAAAAAAAACATATTTTAAATCAATTAATTTATAATATTAATGCTCAGTAAATTTACATTGAGCACTATTTTGTAAAAATAAAAATATCTATAAGAACACCGGATTATATTTCTTACTGTTCTTTCTTTTTATTTAAATACACACACACACACATATATATATATATATATTAGATATTTTAAATAAATAAATGAACAAATTGCTCCGATAAAATAGCCATTTTAGAACTAATAAAAATAAGCATAAACAAGTAAAAATAAATCCAAATAAATAAATTAAAAACTTTCCACCCACGAAAATAACAGAATAGACTACTGTAAGCAATCTAAACATTGAACGAATAAATAGCTTTAATTATCTTCCCAGACCAAGACTAACTATTAAATAAGTGACCTAAGCAAATCCCCCCAATTTTTTTATTTTTACTACGTTAATAAAACATCAAAAACCGAAAAGAATAATTAATACAAAATGAAAATGAAAAACAAATAAATTAATGCAAACAAAAATAACCACCAGAATAGATTACCCACAATGCATCACTGACCCATATATATAAATATTCGAGGAAAAATCTAACATTCGCGGCCTGACGATTGCACCTAGCATGAAACAGACTGTCGCCTCTGAGCGTTGACTTCAATTTTTTTACTATATATATATATATATATATATATATATATATATATATAGAGAGAGAGAGAGAGAGAGAGAGAGAAAGTTGCAAATAAAAAAAATAATAATGTTTTTTTTTATGAAAGTATTTATTTATTTATATACATATTTGATATTTCAGATTGCCCTCAATCTCTCATCAGAAATAACTGTTTGTTACAAATAAATTAAAATTACTGTTTGTTAGCAAGTAGCGTCCTTCGCGAGACGCAGATGCCACATGATATGGAACGTCACTGTTCGGATAATCCTAACTTAAATCTAACTGTAATCTAACTGTAATAAATATTTTAGATGTTGTTTAAAAAAATAAAAACATTTTTTAACTATATCTTAAAAAAATGCTTAACTATTGAAATATTTATAAAGATTTAAAATACCTAAGTTTTTATTTAACCCTAGTTTATGTGTATTTAATTTTAAAATCCAAATAAATTAAATACACATAAACTAGGTTAAATAAAGACTTAGGTATTTTAAATACTTTATTTATTTTTTTATATTAAGAAAGTGTACGTGGCTTCTCATTATGCTATATATATATATATATATATATATTTCGATTATAGGTGCAGTTTAATTTATAATTACATGAATCATTCATACAAAAAATAAATATAGAGGTTAATGATTTAAATGGTGAGAATACATCTTCACAAACAATTTCAATTAGATACACTAACCCCGAACCTGCATATGAATGATATGATCCCTGTTTATAAATTCCAGTTTCATTGCCACATTGACGGAAAACCTACCAGTACAAAAGAATTCTCTTATTACCATATTAGTACAAAAAAGCACAACCTTAAAATTAGAATTCAAACTCAGCGTTGCGACCGCACGTTCCAAAACAATAACACATTTCTCATAGCATTTTTTCGGATTACATCTATATTTTCGTTGTCCTCTTATTACCAATGAGAAGTAAAAACAAGAACAAATCTATTTCCATACCTGAGGATGTCGGTAGGAACAGACGAAAGCTTGTAAAAACTAAAAAGGACCTTATGAAACTGGAATTTATAAACAGGGATCATATCATTCATATACAGGTTCGGGTTAGTGTACCTTATTGATATTGTTTGCGAAGATGTATTCTCGCCATTAACCCCTATATTTGTTTTTTGCATGAATGATTCATGTAGTTATATATATATATATATATATATATATATATATATATATTTGGGCAACCACTTTTCTTTCAAACATGTTTTGCTGAATATGACACACAAGGAAAATGCTTTTTGAGTTTTTCTATATCTGTCTATCTTTCTCGGATGCAGTATTGTAACTATTTATACTATTTACATTGTTTCGACATTTACGCAAATGTCATCGAGCCAATCTTCAGAAATTCCAACATATGGCTTCAGTTTGAAATTTATAAAAAACAGAACGCCGAAGAGTACAGCAGCCAAAATTGTGTAAATGTGCAAATGAAAATGAAGACAACTGTCTAAACAATGTAAATAGTTACAATGCCACATCTCGGAAATATAGACGCATAATTTCTTATTGCCATAGAAAGAGACATGCCTAATCAATAAAATGAGAGGAGGGGAAATGGAAAAGAAAGAAAAGAAGAGGATAGTCTCTACAACAAACAGCTATAATCTCAACCAAATAACAAAGACAAAGAACATCACTGGAAAATATGTAAACTTAAGGAATCAGCACATATGCTAGGCCACAAAAATCTCCTGAGCCGACCAAGCATAGAAATGAATACAATATGGGAACCAGTAATAAGGAGTGCCAGAGAAAAGCGATAACAGCAAGAATTGCAATATGAGCACTGGTAAAAATGGTTGCTGAAGACATTAGTTTTATAATA